CATGAATCGAAGAGAACGATTTATGTCCTTTTATTTCTGACTTCGCTTGTGCTTTAAGTACTAACACGGATATTTTAAATGCTGTTCAGTAGATTCAATTAAGTACGCTCATAGTATTTTAAAATTAATGAAAATGATAATTTTGAGACCAAGTTGTCGCCTTTATCCTTGGGCCTCTTTTGGCGCCTCTAATTCGAGAAAATTCAGTCGTTCCACTACTTCCATTCTCTACACATATCACTGTGCTGTCAATTTTAATTGAATTAAAGTACTTAGGCACCGCCAAATTATAGTAAGTACTGCCCATAATCATCGGCAACTGATTTTGGCAGAGTTCAGGTCACGAATCGATTTTATTAAATTAGGACGTTACCTGAATAAATCGAAATTTCAAACGGCTTCTCCATTGCACGATTGCCAAACAAGCTTAGTAATAGCCATGGTAGCCCGTCAAAACAATAATCTATATATTAATACGTGAAGCAAAAACTTTGTATCCCTTTTTACGAAAATTGCGCGGACGGAGGAGTATGAAATTTTCCACACTTATAGAGGATATAGAGAAGAAGTGCACAACGCTAATATTTTTTAAAAATAATACATAAAAGATACATTAAATCAATAAAGAAAACATTACACACACTACATACCATGTATTTGACGCACACACGCATGCATACTATTTATTGTCAAACTTTTGTTCTTGGCGTCTGTTGTCAAATTGAGAATAGATTAAATATTGTTTGTCTTTGTTAATTTTTTTTATAGTGTAGTCTTGGCGAAATTTATGATCATAGAAGTATAAAATACAATCATAATAGTGTACAAACTTACAATTCCAATTAATTATAGTCGAATTTCGACTACTGCGGGACCTCTAGTAGTAATAAACCTTTGTATAACACTCATTCGACAAACTAGTGCAAAGTCAATCGACAAGGAATAGGCCGGGCCGACATACAATCGTGAAGCGTCCATATGAAAGGAATGTCCGTGTTAAAGCATTCTGCACACGGAATTCAAATACCTTAACTGTCAACGTCAATGAACAAATAGGAAATTAACATCATTCGCTCAACTAAGATATAGTCTGTATTGTGTTTATACTATTATATTATATTTTGATATTAAAAACCACGTAAAATATTGTTACATATCTTGTTTGTGTAAACTAGCTTAATAATAATAAAAATCATGTATATTTTCCATCTTATCCAGCCTACCGGTCACCGTCCTCGTCGAACCCGTCGCTTGCGACGAAGGGCTCGACGAGCGAACTAACCCATAGACACAGCCCACTGAGTTTCTCGCCGGATCTTCTCAGTGGGTCGCGTTTCCGATCCGGTGGTAGATTCTGCGAAGCACTGCTCTTGCTAGGGTCGGTATTAGCAACTCTCCGGTTGAGCCCCGCGAGCTCACCTACAAACGTTAGGGTTAAGCTGAAATAGCCTCTCAAGGCTATCAGCATAGGTAAGGATAAAAAAAAATCCAGCCTACTTTTGCTATGTTAGAAAGGCAATAAATCGTGTAATAAAAATCAAACCTGCAAAATTATAATTTGCGTAATTACTGGTGGTAGGACCTCTTGTGAGTCCAAACGGGTGGGTACCACCACCCTGCCTATTTCTGCCGTGAAGCAGTAATGTTTTACGGTTTGAAGGGTACGGTAGCCGTTATAACTATACTGAGACTTTAGAACTTATATCTCAAGGTGGGTGGCGCATTTACGTTGTAGATGTCTATGGGCTTCAGTAACCACTTAACACCAAATGGGCTGTAAGTTCGTCCACCTATTTAAGCAATAAAAAAAAGGCAAACGTGTCCAACTTCGTTAAGGAGCAACTGTAATTCGTGTGCAAGGACTTCTGTTCCAATTTTAGAACAATTTTCAGGTATTTAAAGGTCCTTCCTTGGAAGACCATGAACATAAAAGCAACGGGAAAAATTTGTGTACAGATCCAAACTTGAGTTAAGTTTCATTATATCCTACCCAATACGTCAAGGTGCTGAATTGTATTCCCGAAACGACAGCGCAAGGAAATGGTAGGTACAAAGATCATGGTCTTACTGTCTGGAGTAAAGAATTTAAACCAAAGCTTCCAACGGAGTGAATCAACTTTAGTTGAATTCAAACTAATGAGGACATACTTTCGCGTGTTGAATGTGAAGTACTGTTGGCCGCAGTAAAATATGCGAAAAGGTTTTGAACCGGCTTTGATGCTGTTTTTCCGTTGATTGAAAAACATTTCAAGGAATTGGTTTGATGATTACAGAAAATCTATTTTTTTGTAAATAATAATCCTTTACTTAACATTAGATTTAATCAAATACGTTTTGCCTTTGTCTCATTTTTTTTAAATCTGTTTTATGTTTATTTGTTTATCATCATTGGATTTCTTCAAACATATATTATACTTTAGGCTATATTTTTATATACTGCGTATACGAACTCAACTTTCAGTTTTGTGGGAATCTTATTGATAACCTTTTTATATTTAGTTGACAATTATGATTAATGAAAAATGTATACATAGTATGTATGTAAATGTATACATAGTTTCCTAAATTACTTTTTGGATAGCATAGGATTTTTTAGAATCTTATTATTAACTAGCGACCTCGCTTCGCTTCGGAAACTGTAGTTTATTATTGTTTTATCCACTATTTAATGGATGTTATTATACATATAAACCTTCCTCTTCAATCTTTCTATCTATTAAAAAAACCGCATCAAAATCTGTTGCGTAGTTTTAAAGATTTAAGTATACATAGGGACAGATAAAGCGACTTTGTTTTATACTATGTAGTGATTAAAATAAAAATCAAACATTCCAAAACATAATATGGAATAATTAAGCGTCCACATGAGATGTTTAGTTTCGAAATTAACGAACGCCGGAAGGTTTTTCTACGCATAATAAAACTGCCAATAGAACGCAATTATCGCAATGCACAACAACCAAATCTAGTTCACCAGTTAAGTAATCATTTAAATGTATGTCTGTTCTCTCTCACGAACATAATATTAGAACATTGCATTACGTTGGTATNATATGGAATAATTAAGCGTCCACATGAGATGTTTAGTTTCGAAATTAACGAACGCCGGAAGGTTTTTCTACGCATAATAAAACTGCCAATAGAACGCAATTATCGCAATGCACAACAACCAAATCTAGTTCACCAGTTAAGTAATCATTTAAATGTATGTCTGTTCTCTCTCACGAACATAATATTAGAACATTGCATTACGTTGGTATATACCTTAGCGAGTTTTTAAGTAGCTCTCTGTATCGGCAGTGGTTTGACTTATTTCTTTTTGTTAGTCGCGACATATTGAAGCGTGGAAGTTCACCGCAGAGTAACTACTGGTGACGCGTTTGTTTTAATTGTTTTAAACGTGTCTGCGGGTCAAACAAAACCTTATAGGTTTTTTTTTATTGCTTAGTTGTGTGGACGAGCTCACAGCCCACCTGGTGCTAAGTGGTTACTGGAGCCCATAGACATCTACAACGTAAATGCGCCACCCACCTTGAGATACAAGTTCTAAGGTCTCAAGTATAGTTACAACGGCTGCCCCACCCTTCAAACCGAAACGCATTACTGCTTCACCGCAGAAATAGGCAGGGTGGTGGTACCTACCCGTGCGAACTCACAAGAGGTCCTACCACCAGTAAAATGCAATACGTATGGGTCTTTTGGGAAATAGCCATCGTCAATTCGAAGTCCTATTTCGGAGTCGGAGACGTGTTTGTTTGTATGTATTATCACTTTTCTTTGTTTATGTTTGCCGCTAATAAGTCATGCGGTCTGGTTTGAAAAATGGGAAATATTACAATAGAGATTACAATATTACAATAGATAATTATATAATTATTACAATAGAGATTTTAACTTTATGGCTCGAGTTGAGGGACGCAGTCACTTTATAACCATCAGCCACAGTAACTACTCAAAGAAACAAAATATAAGGAATTTGTTGATGATCCAATATCATTTTTGTTTTAATGTGGCGCATCGGCTTTACGTAATTTTGTTTTCCTTTACCCTTTACCCGCCTTATACACTACTGATTAGATTGATTTTTTTATGGTACGTCTATCTGACTTCAATCTTAGGTAAGAACCGTAAACCTTAAATTGGCAGCACAGACCGAAAAGAAAGACAGAATAGCCGCTTGAGACTGCCGGAGTCACCCGATTACCCTGATTAATAGTCGAACAGATTAGATTATCTGATCTTATAGAATAAATGTTCAAAATATTTATCATTCCAGTGTAATTACAACTAAAGATGGCGGTCGTTGGCTTTGACAGATTTTGCAACGAGTAAAACGTGATTAAAATTATTTATGTTTAAAGCATATAATAAGCTTCTCGCTGTTCTGATCTCGCACAAGTTGAATTTAAAGATATTTTTCTGTTTTCCACCTCAAGAAAATTCATCGAAATTTCGACTTTAGTTCGTTTTCTATGTTACCAGACAGTTAATTTAGGTAACGTATGCACATACTATTTTACATAAAATACTTTCTCCAAGTAAAAAATAATATAATCACTCATAGAGGCTAAGGAAATGCATAATATTTGAAGAAACGAGTATAACCGGACGCAAATGTAGTACAGTAATAGAACATCTAAATTGCTTTTAAAGGAAATTAAATCTTATTGGTTTGCGTCACAGTCGAAACAATAAAACACCCAGAGTTAACATTACCAAGAGTTTACCTTTCTCACAACACCGCCAATTATCACAACAAACACACGAAAGTAGAGAACGCAGACAAATAAATATTCCTTAATGTACATAATATACCGAACGAATCAAGCGATCGAATTTATATATTGATATGCATACGTAGGGACTCATTCATTAATTTAGTAATTCTCAGGCTGTATTAAAATGTACAAGACTTGTAGACACCGGCGCGTCGGCGACACGTTCGTATCGTATTTTGTTTGTCATTCGTTCGCGCGGCGACATTTCGATCATTCGTTCATTCCGCTCGCATCAGTCGTGGTTGATAACTGTTTCGGTGTAGACGTATGTAACGGCCTTTTACGTTCCCGCGCACGAACATAATTAAATTTAACGTATTAATCGCGGCGAATTTGTGTTTGTGTAGTGTTTTAAAATAAAATTAGTGTTCGACAATCGAGATAATTTGCAACTAGTGGTTTTGTCTCAGTGCGCTGCGCGATTGGATTTTTTTCGTCTTGTTTTTTGTGGTGAGTGTTTAGTTAAACAAATTTTAATAAGTTTCTATAGAATTTTAAGAATGTCCTTCTAAAAATTTATCGCATTCAAGTTGCGCGGTTGGTGTTTTTCTAAAATTATGCACAAATATAATTCGCATACCTACGCGTTACTTTTACGAGCGACCTTAAATCGCAGATTTATTTACATCGAGGTATAACGAATCACTTACGTTTACTACATTAAGTCCAACGAATACATAGTATAGTGTATTACTCTTTCTTAATGGTTTTATCTACCATTAATGGTAAAATTTACATGACTCTGAAACAATTATATTTTTATCCATAAACATGCTTGTTAATTTAAAGTAGGTACTAAGTAATTTTGTGTCATTTATTCCCAAAGATTTAAAATCTTACTGGGACTGTTGGGAACGATGGTAACAGATAGATACGGTAGCTTACTAATATTTTTTACGCCAAAACCCCAACTTCTTTTGGTAAAATGGGACTACCTTCCGTTTAAATAAAATAATCTCCGAAGAATGAGATCAAACCTGTTGATGTAAAGTGTATGGGCAAACAAGGTACTATATTGTTTGTATATGTGACACAGCCTATTTGCACCCGAGCGATACCTTAGACTGTCTAAATATTTGAAATTTTAGGTATTAACAAGGCTGTGTTCACAATAATTGCTACAATATCCAGAGTAGTTTTAATTCTACATATATTATGGTAAATTCTCAGTAAGTAACTTCGAGGTGACTTAAAAATAACAGAACATTCCAATTTGTTAATGAACTTACATAATATTTGATAGAACATGTTATTTTTAATGGATAAAGTAGTTTTTTTTAAATATTATAGTCGTTATTATTTCGCCTGTGTTAGGTACGAATACGGAATGCAAAAAAAATATGTAAAAAATGAAATACAAACATTTTTTTATTTGAAATGCTTAGGTATAAAGAGAGTTAGGTAGTATCCTGGCTATTTTTGTCACGAAGGAATGGTACAGAAGTTACATGCCCGGTAGCAGTTGTAATACCGATTGTTGAAAAAAAACTCCGACAAAAAATAAACCGATAAAGCGAATCATAAACTGTCGTTATGTTTATAACCTACTATTAAAGTACTATTAGCTGTTAGCTCAACGTGCGCATTTCCGACGTAATATTTATATTGTCCTTGAATTTTCAAATTGAAGGAAAATTCTTAGTAAACAACAAACTTGGTCATCACTTTGTAGCGTCATAGGGTGGTTTTGTTGAATGTTATAACGCTCGGAGGTAGAATTTCCAAAGAAAGATGTCTAAGAAAATAAAATTGTCAACAAAATCAATCGTGCTTTGTAAACAATAAAGCAATATTGTGTCCTCTCATCAGTTTCTGTTTAACTGGAAACCGTAGACGAAGGTATTATTATTAATCGTTAAAATCGTTTCGAGGTCTTTTTTAGACCTTCCAAAGACTTGCTTTTGGCAGAGTCGTGGTGTTCTAAAAGATGAGACGTCCGGTGTAATTAAATCTAGCGAAGCGACCGTTATGTCTCGCAAATTTTCCTAATGAAACCCCTATATACACAGTTCACCGAGTTTCTCGCCGGATCTTTTCAGTGGGTCGCGATTTCGATTCGCTGGTAGATTCTGCGAAGCGCTGCTCTTGCTAGGGCTACTGCTAGCAAATTCGCGCAGGTTTCGCCGGTGATCTCACCTACGTCTCTGTGCGAAGCTGGCCCCTTAAGCTACCAGCAAATCCTCCTCCTCCGTGCGTCGTATTCCTCAGTGCTGAGGGTCGTGACCTTTACGGAGCACTTTTGTTAGGACTATGTTCCCCCATTCACTCCTGTCCTCCGCTCAGTGGATAGCGACATTGCTACCAGCAAATAGGTAGGGAAAAACAATTAAACACGTACTCAAGTTATATTCACGTATGATTTCCGCGATGAAGGAATAACATCGCGTAATCAAAATTATAACCCGAAATTTTTTTTGGCGTATGTACTATACAATTGAGACAATATACCTACCTCAAGTCTCAAGGTGGGTGGCAGCATTCACGTTTTGATGTCCATGGCCACTGATAGCATGCAAGCCCGTTTACTTGACACGGCCGACTAGTTTCCTTGTATTTTTTTTATAAGAACCTTCAACGATATGACTAGAACCAAGAAAACCGATCGATGAGTAAGACCCATAAGTTATTCAAGTTTTTCAAGTCAAATTTATGGACGCTCGATGTAAGCTTTAAGAACTGCTTCGTTTATACTCATTTGTTATATTTGAAGTAACTATTGGAGAATCAGTGTAAAGATAAAAAAATTTTTTTTAATTTAATAACAAAATTAACAAGAACAATAAAGTTTTTACCCTATATCGATTCTGAGATCTGTTGATTGAGAGAAACGTAATAAATCAAATCATGAGCAATATAGCCGATATAATTTACGATGTAGTCTCTTGTAAATTTGGTTGCATAATTTACTTGGAACTCTGTGGATTCTTCGAGAATTTTCTGACGCGCCTGACAGGACACTTAGAATAAAACTCCCAAAAGATACAGACACTTCCAATTTGTGTTCCCCCTAAAGCACCCATCATTGTTAATTACTCGTAGAGTGTCATAAAACGGATTTTATTAAAATACGTCAGTCCTGCGGAGAAGAAATTAGAGAAATCCTAATAAACTTAAAACACATGATTGAATGTTTCAAAACTGTTAGCTGTAAAACATTTTATTCACTTAAAAATTCATAAATCAACAAATAGCTTGTGAATATGTGTGTCAGTCAATGATATCCTCTAAATTCGATTCTTAACCCAGGTGACTGGTGGTAGGACCAGGTGGTAGGTATTTACTGGTGGTAGGACCTCTTGTGAGTCCGCGCGGGTCGGTACCACCACCCTGCCTATTTCTGCCGTGAAGCAATAATGCGTTTCGGTTTGAAGGGTGGGGCAGCCGTTGTAACTAACTTGAGACCTTAGAACTTATATCTCAAGGTAGGTGGCGCATTTACGCTGTGGATGTCTATGGGCTCCAGTAACCACTTAACACCAGGTGGGCTGTGAGCTCGTCCACCCATCTAAGCAATAAAAAAAAAGGTATATGTAGTATTTTCATTTCTCTAGTAATTATATTCTCATTCAACTCCTGTTCGATATTCGTCAATTTATAATTTTTATTGGTCAATAAAGATAATAATGTAATCGTATCGATACCACTTATTTTATTTTAAAAGTATAAATCGCAATTATTCGAATTCTTGTATAGTACACAGTAGAGCTATCTCGTTTAGTACGGAAGGACACGTAGAATATAATTTTTAACTCACTATCGTTTCTTTTAGGTGAAAGATAAAAAGAATTTGTCGACATTCACTTGAGTTGGTTAAATGTAAGGGCAAAAAATGTCTAAAATTTATAATTCACGCCTTTCGCGCGAATATTTTACGACCAATTTACGTACAATAACAAAAAAATACTGATACATTCAAATAGGAGCTGTAACTAAGCAATAATTAAAAAAAAATCACAAATCGTTGATTGTACCGATAGTGATATCTGTTTGATAGGGCTTTCAGTGGTCAGCCATGAAATATTTTTAATTGCATTCTGATTTATAAATTCATGTTTGCAACGTATTCTTTCTTAATGAGACTTTGTTATTTTCTCGAAGATTCTGAAACGAATTTAAATACTTTTAGGTTATATATAATCTTACGAGACATAAGAATTAAGTTAAATATAGGCTAGTAGATATTATAGTAATGGACAGCACTGTAGTAAAGCAGATTGTAGGACTGTAGGTAGGACTAAGATGCTATTTCTACCGCCAAGCAGTCATGCATTTAGGTCTGAAGGGTTGGACGGGCATTTCACTAACTCTATTGGAACTTGGACCTTACCTGTCACAGTGGGTGGTAGCATTTGTATTGTGTAGTCTACGGGCTCCTATAACCACTTAACATCAGGTTACCCATTAATTCATTTACTTAACCATATGCACTAAATATTTTTTTGTAACAACATTACTGGTGGTAGGACGTCTTTGCGTTTCGGTTTGGAGGGTAGAGCAGAAGTTGTACTGTAAAAACTGAGGCATTGGAACTCATATCGCAAGGTAGGTGACGGCATTTGCGTTGTAGATGTCTACGGGCTTCAGTAACCACTTAACAGCAGGTGGGCCGTGAGTTGGTCCACATACTTAAGCAATAAAAAACAAAAAACATCTCGTAAGTACAGTTTAGCTTTTATATCTTCGTCCATTTAATGTCATCCATACTCCAGTACTTTAATTAATTAATAAACTTGTTTTAAAAATGTACTTCGTAACGACTAATGTTAGCCACTAATGAAATAACACATTGACCTCTGACCCCCCACGCCGCAACTCAACGTTAGATACGAAATGATTGCTGCCCATACAATTATCGGGCGTGGGGAAACGGTGCGATTCTCGTGTTTCACAATCTCACCTGTCAGGTTACTGATAAACGGTAATGTGAACAATCAGGATGTACTAAGCAATACGTAATCATGTATTATGTACGTCTCTGAAACGCATGCATCGGTCGAAGCTAATGTGCTTTGTGAAATAATGATAATGTTTTGAAGTTCGGAAGTTAAGTCGTATGTACTGATTGCAAAGATCGTTGTTATGCAAATTTACTGGTGGTGGGTTGTAATTTGAACTCGCTCTGGCAACTATTCTGTCGGTTTCTATGACGTGTTTCGGTTTTGAAGGTTCGGCAACCTATCTATATATTAATACGTGAAGCAAAAACTTTGTATCCCTTTTTACGAAAATTGCGCGGACGGAGGAGTATGAAATTTTCCACACTTATAGAGAGTATAGAGAAGAAGTGCACAATGCAAATTTTTTTTTTAAATAATGCATAAAAGATACAGTACTTAAATCAATAAAGAAAACATTACACACACTACATACCATGTATTTGACGCACACACGCATGCATACTATTTATTGTCAAACTTTTGTTCTTGACGTCTGTTGTCAAATTGAGAATA